GTAGGGAAAATACATTAAGATTAATGATCCTGTTGAATAGAGTTTTAACTAGTATATTTAATACATTTTAATGTTACAGTGAACTTTAAGTCCATGGGTAAAAATAAATGGTAAATTTGTTATTTATTTTAATTACTGATATGGCAAGAGAAAAATTGATCTTGAAATTTCACACAAATATTTCTGTAAAATGTGCTATTAAAATATCCTATTAATATGTAATATGTAAAATATCCTATTAATATGTATCCTATTAATATGTAATTAGTAACTATTTAAAAGTAACTATTTTAAAAAAATTATCGGAAGTTCCCTGGCAGTCCAGTGGTTAGGACTTGGTGCTTTCACTGCCGTGGGCCCGGGTTCAGTCCCTGGTCAGGGAACTAAGATCCTGCAAGCCGTGTAGCACAGCCAAAGAATAAAAAATAATAAATAGATAAATAAATATCATTATGTCATTTCTCCAATAGGTTTAATTTTTAGGTATCCAGAAGAGGACTATGAGTCATTTCCGCTCTCGGAATCTGTCCCTCTCTTCTGCCTTCCGATGGGAGCTACAATTGAATGTTGGGATCCCCAAAGCAAATACCCGCTTCCAGTTTTTTCAACTTTTGTCCTCACAGGCTCTTCTGCTGAAAAGGTATATTTTTTCCTCTTTTATTAAACCTATTTTGTCCATGTTTTTAATCCATAAAATGATTAATATAAGTTTAATGTGAATGTTAGGATTATTTGGACGCAATACATTTCTGTTTAAATTTGTACTTTAATGCCCAAAGTGAGAAGTCTACATGAAAATTGGGATCAGGATGCTGTTACCCCTGGAGTGTCTATAGGAGCACATATAAAGTCTCTGGAGAGATACCCTCAAAACCCAGGCCTCAAGATGAGATTCTAGTGAAAGTTAGAAGACATAGGTACCATAAGAAGAATCAACAAGATACAGAGCTGGATTACACCCTTAAGATATTGAAATGATAGAATAACAATATCAAAGATATTATAAATTGAATATATAATTGAAATGATTCAAGACCTAATAGAGGGGCTCAGAACATCAAGGAAAGAACAGGATATTTTGTTTTTGTTTTTGTTTTTTTGTGGTACGTGGGCCTCTCACCGCTGTGGCCTCTCCCGCTGCGGAGCACAGGCTCCGGACGCGCAGGATCAGTGGCCATGGCTCACGGGCCCAGCCGCTCTGCGGCACGTGGGATCCTCCCGGACTGGGGCACGAACCCGAATCCCCTACATCGGCAGGCGGACTCTGAACCACTGAGCCACCAGGGAAGCCCCAAGAACAGGATATTTTGAAAAATGAGTAGACAGGTTGGAAAAAGAATCAAATGTCTAGAAATGAAAATATCCATAAAATTAAAAATGTAATGAATGGTTTAAACAGCAAATAAGTCATATATGAAGGAAGAATTAATGAAGTGGAAAATAGGTTATCTTGAATGTGGCACAGGAATACATAAAACATAAAAGGAGTTTAAAAATGCAGAGGATAGAATCAAATGGACCAACAGATATTTAATGAAGCCCAGGAGAGACTAGAAAAGGGAGAGACAGCATTTTAAGAGCTAGTGGTTGATTGAGAGTTTTCCAATGTTGATGAAAAATTGAGTTTTTCAGGTTAAAGATACACTCTGAATCTTCAGCAGAAAAAAAATAAAAGTATAAAACCACCTCTTTTCATATTATAGTAAAATGATAGAATACCAAAGACAAAAAACAACCAGAAAGAACAGACATACTTACTTACAAAGGTATAACTATTAATTGATGGCTAATTTCTCAACAACAGTGAGGTTCATAAGACAAATAATACATTAAAATTGAGGGAGTAAGTGAAGATAGTTTAAACAGTATGCAGAAAGCGCTAGCCGTAAAAGAAAAGATGAATAATAGGACCTCATTGGAGTTAAGGACATCTGTTCATTCAAAGGTACCATTAAGAAGGTGGAAAAGCAGGCCCCAGGCTGGGAGAAAGTAATGTGATACTGTAGGTATTCCATAAAGGTCTTGTATTCAGAATATTTAAAGAACTTCTATATTGTCAGCAAGGATAAGAAATAACTCTGTGGCCCAACAGGTATACACCTGAGCATATCCCAAGAGAAATGAGTATATATATTCTCCAAAACACATGTATATTTGTATACTTTATTGGTAATAGCCAAAAATTCAAAACAAGTATAAACAGTAATAATAACATAGAATGATAATTTAAATTAAAAAAGAGATGGCAAAAAAGCAATATTAGGAAATAAAAAGTAAATAAAACTACAGATCTAGTAGAAATTTAAAAATTGAAAACTTTCTTAGGAAATTTGATAGAATAGCCAATTTTATTGAAATGTGTAACTAACCAAGGCTGACTCTTGTGGAGCAAACAAAAATACATCTGCGTCCTCATTCTCCAGTCTTCAAGTTTACATCCACTGTGCTAAAGACAATAATTAAGGTTAAGTGTCCAGCAGAGTGTCTGGAACATAGTAAAATACTCACTAAATGGAAGGCCAGTACTATATTGACTGGATTGCTTACAAGTAAGCTAACTCTTTAGCTTAATAATCATTTATAGTTTCTTCTATTGAAAGCAATAAATATAAATGAATATTTTAATATCTTCAAACACTTAAGCATTACCAAAGTTACTTTGACCAGTAGAGAACAACAAATCCTCATTGTGATGCTTTTGACATATTGCTTGTTATGAACCCCAGAGATGACTTTGAAATAATCTGAGAGTGTTATTTGTATCTGTAAAGACAAGGGTTAATGTGATATAACAGACATACGTATATATGACATATATACATACACATATGTATATAGTGACTAAACAGTTAAAAGATTTATAAAAGTATCACTTAACCATTTCCAGAGCGTTTTCATCACTCTAAACAGAAGTTTCTTCCGCTCCTATCCTATGTCCCTCTTTTCTACTATCTGTCTCTACCAATTTGTCTATTCTAGGTAGCACATATAAATGGAATCATATAATATTTGTCTTTTTGTGTCTGGCTTATTTCACTTAGCATAATGTTATCAAGGTTCATCCATGTTGCAGTATTTATCAGAATTTGATTCCTTGTTAAGGATGTATAATATTCTCTTGAGTGTATATATAGTCAGCCCACCGTATCCAGGGATGCCCAACCTGTGGATCTGGAGGGCCGACTGTACTACATCATTTTATATAAGGGACTTGAGCATTCATGGATCTTGGTATCCGCTGGGGGTCCTGGAATCAACCCCCCTCGAATACCGAGGGACAGCTATACCATATTTTGTTTATCTGTTCGTCTGTTGATGGACATTTGGGTTGTTTCTATCTTTTGGTTATTGTGAATAATGCTGTTATGAACATTGGTGTACAAGTATTTGTTTGAGTCCCTGCTTTCAATTCTTTTGGGTATATACCTAGGAGTGAAATTGCTGGATCATAGGGTAGTTGTTTAACTTTTGGAGGAGCTGCCAAACTTTTCCCCCATAGCTGCACCATTTTACATTCCTATCAACAATGTTTGAGATTTTCTTTTTTCATTTACCTGTCATATGCACTCTAAGCAAATACTTGTTTTGGAATAAGAGAAAAAGAGAAATTAATTTTTTAAAACACTCAAATTTTACAATGGAATTTTTTTACTCTGTAGGTATATGGAGCTGCCATCCAGTTTTATGAACCTTACTCTCGAGAACTTCTAACAGAAAAACAGCTTATGCAGCTGGGCCTGTTGACACCTGTGGAGAGAAAAATGGTCTCCAAATCCATCAATTCAAACAAATGCATTTGTTTACTCTCACACTGGCCTTTTTTTGAAGCTTTTAGAAAATTTCTCATGTTTATCTACAAACTTTCTGTGTCTGGACCACATCCTCTTCCCATTGAAAAGTATGTATAATGATTTGAAGGATGTCTGGTGGAAAAATTGGATGTATATATGTACGTTTCATTGTTTACCTGACTTTAAGCATCAAAGTTGAAAGGGAAGGAGAGTCACAGTCATCCTACTTTTTACTTGCTCCCTTCCTCACCTGAATCATTGACTCTGAATTTAAAATTGAGGAGTGGTGGTGAGGATGACCAGATAAAAATCTTCTGAGAACTCAGCTGAGGAAGAAACTTATATATATACATTATATTGTATGTGTTCTTCCTACTCATTCTTAAATAACCAAGAGAAAAATAGCTGTCATTGCACACACACCCCAGCTATCCAAATGACCATTGCAAGTTAAACATCTCTAAACTGATTTAGAAATTAATGGTGTTAATTGATTAATTGATGTTAAAAGTAAGGTTTGGGTTCTAACATTGACAGAACTCTACATGCTTTCCCTTTGATTTGTAATTTTCTTCATCATGGAAATGTTTTGTAAGCAAGAAAAATAGATGTGGGACCACTGTCTTTTTAAAACCACATCTTTTCTGACTTCTAGTGGCACGTTGACTTGTTCATTATAGTAAATAACTCATGTATCCTGCTAACAAAGCAAGTCAAGATCTTTGGTGGAAATGTGTTATACTGTGTGTAAAACAGATTTTTCTTAAACTTTGCAAAATTTCACACTGTAGCAAAAAGATTATCAGTGAAGCATACTAGTTTAGTGGATAAGAGGGGGCCAGTTACCTGTAGGTTTTAAAGTAATGCTCAAAAATCAACTTTATAAAATAGTAAAAGTACTATGCATAAACACATCAAAATTTGGTGTAGCAATATGGTTTCAGCTTTCTTGTTGTATTATTGGAATGACAGTCTAATGGTTCATCATTCTAGATTTAACTTTCAGCTGTCAGATTAACTTAAAATTGATTGGACTAAATTTAATGTTAGTAATAAGTTAGCAGCCTTTTGAAAAATTAAGGTTCTCTGAAATTTGTGAAAAAAAATCAGTATATATCATGCAAAGTAGTACTTTGCATTTAGTGGCTCCTAAGAGCTCAAAACTTTGGAAAAACTTGAGTTATTATGTATAGGTGGAGAAATAGGACAAGTGATTTGCCCAAAGTTATAGTATAAGAACTATATTAATTTAATTAATATTATTAGATTGAATTCTGTATTAGTTTTGATTCATTATATCACAGTTAGTTGCTCCCATACTGATACTGATAACCAGGGCAATAAATGTTAGCTTCTTTCATGAAAACTATATTCATGTTATTCTTATTTTCCTGGTGACAATAGGGTATATTAATCTGGACTTTTAATCAGGAAATGCATTTTAGAAGTTGCGTTCCACTCATAGTGGAATGAGTACATTTATTTACACTAAGTAAATTTATTTATTTATTTATTTAGCTTAAGTTTTAGGTAAGTGGCTTTGTCAGGTCCAGGATGATGAATAATGGTATTTAAGATCTGTTAAAATCCATGAAGCATTTTAGAAAAGTAATTATCTTTATTTCAAAAATTTTTTCTAGGCACATTTCACATTTTATGCAAAACATCCCTTTTCCTTCACCACAAAGACCAAGAATCCTGGTACAGGTAATAAAAAAGAGTATGTTTGAAGGGAGACCTGCATATGTTCATTCCAGTCATTGCAATGCGGATGCTATGGCCCTTTTGGTTTGAGGCGGAGCAAGATGCATTCATGAAATCCTTGAATTTCCCGTGTTTTATATCTTTAGCTAATATTCTTTTTTACTGTTGTTTTGAATTTTGGGTATACAGAATTGGAATAATTAGAATACTTGGTTCATGACATCATCATTGGTTCATGTGTGGCCTTTACGTAGCCGACTTTAATAATGTAAAACCCAAAATTATGTTGAGGGCATGTTTTTAACATTCGAGTGACTAATAAATATCAAATGTGAAATTGGTTATGGTTGGAAGGCGGAAGTGAAGCAGTCTATAATAGTGTTGTTAAAGGACCAGTTTCTTTTTATTTCCAGTCAGTGGCAGACCTATATAAGTATATAGCTTGTGACATAAGCAGCTTACCATATGAGATCAGTATAGATGTGAACAGGTCTATACCCTGTCCAAAGACATGAGTTCACTGATAATGTGCTTGGATATGAGAGCAGTGTCAGAGTGCCATGAAAGTTTCTAAATCGCTTTCTCTCTATTTATATACTATTCTTCCTGGACCAATAACAGTTTGCAGACTGATCTATAGAGGCAAGCTATTTAAACATTTTTTTCTAAGGTGGTTATTAACATTATATGTGTTAGTCAAATATTGTTAATCTTGAATGTATTTCAGTTCAGCAAGTATTAATATATATTAAGCAGTTGCCAAATAGAGAGTAAATAAATTGGAGGCTTTTAAAAAGCAGTTATTCCATAATTTTTAAACAGCTGTATTTTAATCAATTAACTGAATCAAAATTCAGTTGAATAAACCATTTAATTTTAAAGAACTATGTACTTCTAAGTAAATAACAGCTATTGTTTTATATTTTAGGACGTTTCCAAAACTGTATCAGTCTGCCTATTAAACTATTTTCCATTTTACCCTTGATCTAAATATTTAGGTTTCATAATTGGCTTGGTTAATTTATCATTTTTTTTCTTTTTTTAAGCTATCAGTCCATGATGCGTTAATATTATCACAACCAGTTTCTACACCTTTACCACTAAGGTAATTAATGGTATATAAAATAATACATTTGTTCACTTGGAGCAGAATGCTTTAAAATATATTAAGGGTTAGTATAATAGAGTTGTGTTATCTTTACAAACTAAGAATAGCCTTAATGTTTCTAACTTTGATAGCTGGGGCCATTCAGCATTTTAAAAATGGAACACTTAAAGAAAGTTGCAAGATTGAATGTAGGGAATACCTCCCTTTTCCTCTCATCTCCCTTGCGCATGTCTAGTTCCTTACTAAATGTTCAAGGTGAACTGATTTTACCTCCTAAAATGGCTTGAGTCGATTGGCTTCTCTTCATCTGTGACACTAGTCCAGGCTAGCATGATCTTTTACCTGGACTACTTCATTATGAGCCTCTTAATTGGCACTCTTTTGCTCTTGTCTTTCAGTTTTTTATCCACACTGCAGCCAATGTTTCCTTCTGAGAATGCAAATATAAAATTGTTGGAGAATGCAAATATTTTTATTTTGGGCATAATCTCTTGTTGTTTTCATCCCTTCCTTTAATATGCTTTAGTCACAGTAGGTTTATTTCAATTTCTTGAACATGACAATTGCTTTTCCTTGCTTCAGGACCTTTGCAAATGTTGTCTCCCCACCAGCCCCTACCTTCTTTCTTTAGAGCTCAGCTCAAATGGCTGTTCTTTAGGAAAATCTTTCCTGATAAACGCCCTTGTTGCCAAAGGATGAGTTTGAATCATTCTGCTATACCATCCCATTAAATTTGCTACTTTTCAGTGATAGCTAAATCAGGGCTTGAAATTAATATTAGATTTTCAATTTATTAATATTTAGGAAATAATTTAATAAGCAAATCTTAGCCCCTTTTGGTGAAATAGTTCATAATCACCTTTTTTTCTCTCCTTTTCTAGTGGAGCCAACTTTAGCACCTTGTTAATGAATCTGGGTCCTGAGAATTGTGCAACACTGCTGCTCTTTGTTTTACTTGAGAGCAAGATTTTGCTGCATTCTCTTAGGCCAGCTGTGTTGACTGGAGTAGCTGAAGCTGTTGTAGCTGTAAGTATAGAATTTTCTTTTTAGTGCAGAATTCTTGACAGAGAATTTTTACTCTAAAGGGAAATTTCCTTCAACCAAAGCTTTGAAATTACCACTAAATGTTTAACATAAATATAGTAGGGTGGCAAAGAGAAATACTAAATATAAAGAGAAAAAAGTGATTTCTACTGAGAGAAAATTTCAGTTTCTAATTTTTCATATTTTAGAGTTCTTCAGAGAATCTATATGATTACATAATAATAGAACTTGTGAATGAAGCTTACTGTGTTAAATGAGAAGCTCGGTCAATTTCAGCTGCCCTAAAATTGTGGACATGAATTACATGACTAATTTCTCCCAATTTTAACTTTTAATCATTGTGAGCCAGTAATGTACAGGAAAATCTAGGTGATTGTGAAATTGGATAAATGTACAAATGTTTAGCTATTGTGAAAAGCATAAACAAAAGTTAAATCAAGTCCTGTTTTAAAACCTCTTGATGGCTTCCCACTGCAATTAGAAGGAGGTCTGATCATGTAGGGCTTTATAGGTCATAATATAGAATTTTGGATGTTCCATTTCTCTAACTCGATTTTCCATTGTTTGTTTAATTTAAAATAGCTGACTCTCCTCTCTTCCCCATTTTACTCTCATGGAAATAAGGATCTCTTTTAGGTCTCTTTTTTACTCCTGTGTCCTCAGCATTTATCACAGTTAAATAGCATGGAGTAAATACTCAATAAATACTTGTTAAATCAACAAATAGGGTATGTCTCCAAGATATTAATCTGGTCAGAGAAATGCTTCTAGGACTGAAAACAGTAATAACCATTTGAGATGGTTTATGGGGGGCAAAGATCCTAATTATGTACTAATTTTCCAAGCCTCCACAGTTGCATGTAAAAGCAAAAGTTGTTATAACATGAAAATATTTGTTAATGAACTGACCAGTTTTAGAAAGTTCCCACTCAGGTATATCCCACTCAGGTTCCCACTCAGAAATACTCAGGTATTTCTTCCTATAAAACTTTAGGGATTATCCATGCCCCTCTGTCTGAATCTCTGTGGCCCAGTCTCTTTAATAAGATTGGAAATCTTATTAAAATGCAAGATTGCATGAAATTTATGTAACCGATGTTGGAGAACAGCCTGAATTGCTTGCAAAACTATTGATAAATGAGGATTTGATAGTAAAGCAAATTACCATTTAAAGAGGAGAAAATTGAAAAGAATCGTGACTAAAATTCCTCAAAAGGAGAGTGATTTGAATATCAAAGAATATTGAAGAGTTAATGGAGCCCCATAGCAAAAATTGATGGAACCAATGGGTATTCTTGTAAAATTACATTATTTATGATTGTGCTGCAAAAGTCAAAGGTGAAGACAAGGGTGTCATATTTTGTTGTCCAGTAGTTTTATTCTGAAATTTCTTATGTAGTTAGAGGTGTAACGTACCTTTTGTTGAATGGTAGATAGTCAGTTTTCCCTGGAGGAAATCTGAAGTCCTTGCAAGGTCCTTTGCGAGTAGTTCTATCCCTCTGCTCTCTGATACCATTTTCTACTTCTCTCCCTCTTGCTCACTCTGCTCCAGCCACGCTGGCCTCTTTGCTACCCCTGGCACATACTAGGCAGTCCCCACACCTTAAGGCCTTTGCTCTAGCTGTTCCTTTTCTTCGAAGCGCTCTTCTCCTAGATATCCCCTTGACTAAAACCCTCACCTCCTTCAAGTTTCAGCTCAGTGTCACTTTCTTAATGAAGCCTACCCTGTTTGGCCTATTTAATAATACAGGCTGCTTTCCCCCTCTCCTCTCTCATGTTCTAAACTCTAATCGCCTTTACTTGGCTTTACTTTTTCTTTTTTTTCGTAGCACTTAGCCCTCTCTCACATGGTATATATTTGATTTATTATGTCTTCTTTTTGTTTTCGCTCTTCCTGCTAGACTAGGTGTTGGCAAACTGTGGCCTGTGAGTCAAATCCTGGCTGCCACTTGTTTTTGTAAATAAAGTTTTACTGGAACATAGGCCATTTATTTACATAATGCCTATGACTGCTTTCATACATGAAGACAAAGTTAACTATTTGTGACAGAGACGATATGGCTTGCAAGGCATAAAATATTCTTTATCTGTTACAGAAAAAGTTTGCTGGCTCTTATGCTACACTGTACATTTCATGAGGGCAGGATCTTTGTTTCATTCACTGTTACAGCCCCATCATCTAGAACAGGTCTTGGTACATATTAAGTGCTCAATTACTAGAAAGTAAATAAATGATTGAAGACAGAATTCCAATTCTGTATAACCATCTGGAATAACTGGCAGAGGTAGTAAATGCTATAGGTAATTATTTGGGGTGAGTAATGATGGGTAAGGTAAGAATTGAACTAGATCTTGAAATATAGCAAGGATTTTTATAGTAGAGGAAAGATTTTGTCATCAATGATTAAAATTTTAATATTAGTTGATTATTAAAATTTTAATTTTTTTTTTACTTATCAAAACTTGTCTTTTTTCCTTTTTAAAAAGAACACATTGATACAATTAAGATAGAGCTTTATAAAGGAAAGCTGGTAAAGATTGTTGAGGTATGTTTTATATTGACTAATATTTTTAAGATGCCAAGATTCACTGAAGTTGGATAATATTATGTTTATTTGGGCAGTTACAAAATTTTGGGGGTTGAAATTTTTAGTTGACTATAACTATTCCCAAGAGAATCATTTAAATTTTTTTAGTTCTTGGTGTTCTTAGTTGGATTTTAGTCAAAGGTTATCTTGAAAATTAACAGATGAATGAAATGCATCAGAGTTAAAGATCATGAGCTTGTTTTATAAAATTTTGGGCAGTTTTTTCTCCTCTTTCACTTTCTCCATAAAATGGGAATGTGGATTTTCTATAGGCATTAGACGAATTAACATGCAAAGAGCTGTTAGCATTTTAATTGTGCTTATGATCATTGTCATTCTTGAAGATTTTAATCACATTGGTTCATAGTATTGCCTAGCAGTGTTTTATAGTCATTTAGTTTTTGGAATGAAGTTTAATATAGTCATTTAGTTTTTGGAATGAAACTAGACTTAAATGCTCTGTAATGGTCCCTTTCAGTAGTATTAGTTAATTACTAATTCTCATTGCAAATTTAAAACTTGGTTAATTTTTTAAAACTTTTTTCCCCAGATGATCTTTCCATTTCAGTGGCAATGCCCATATATTCCCCTTTGTCCTCTTTCACTGGCAGCCGTGCTTAGTGCACCTTTACCATTTATAGTTGGAGTTGACTCAAGGTATTTTGATCTTCATGACCCACCACAAGATGTTGTTTGCATTGACTTGGATACAAACATGTTATATGTGTAAGTTGATTCTTTTTATATTATCTCCATTTATATTTTTCCCCACATGTAGTTATAGCTCATTGAAAGCATATACAGATATGCTACTTTTAAAAGTTCGTAATAAGTCTTCAGATTCAATACAATGATTCTCAATCAGGACAGGTATCAGAATCCTGGAATGTTGTGTGATTTGAAAAAGATTGTGTTCAATATTATAATAGTTTATATTGGATAATAATGTTAACAGTAGGCAGGAGATATTTATGTTTATCAGAAGAGAATATGGATTATTAAAAAAAATTAGAAACACTGCTTTCAGAGCTCAAGAGATGATATATGCTATCTAGGTTTAATTCAAAATCTGTGTGTAAGCTCTTAAAAAATGGGCTTACCTGTTTGAGTTTAGTCACAATATAGGGTAATATGCTGTTTTCTTAGTTGTCAAGAGTTGAATTGTATAGGGATTACAGAGAAATTGATGTTAAAAATCAGTCAGAGTTTGTGTTTACTGGAGGTGATAAATATGTATAGCAGTGGTGTAACTGAGGGTTCAGAGAGTAGAGCACCACACTAATAAAAGAAGATTCATCCATCCAGTTCTAGATGGATGTTTAGGAGCGCCCTCTGCAACCCCACCCTCACAAAAACAACAAACAGCATGGGTAAGGGCAGTAAGTATTGAAACTTCCCTAGTATTAGTGCCAAATTCCAGGTCCTGGAGTGCTTTTATTCTTTACTGTTTGATACTGGCAGAAAATGAATAGAGTAAGAATTTGGGATGAGACTTCAGTGGTTACAGCAGTAGAACTGGTTGGGAAAATAGCCTTGACTGAACCAGAAGAATAACTTAAGGAAGGAAGAAAACATTTAATGTACCTTAAAAAATAATTTTGAAATGGATCTACCATTGTATTATGAAAACTGTGTAATTGTGGTAGCTCTTTACTATGTTTGTTTGTTTATTTATTTGGGTTTTCAGTACTTTTAAAAAATTGAAGTATAGTTGATTTATAATATTGTACTATTTTCAGGTGTACAGCATAGTGTTTCAGTATGTTTACAGATTATATTCCAATAAAAGTTATTAAAAAGTAATGGCAATTATTCCCTGTGCTATGCAGTATATCCTTGTTGCTTATTTATTTTATACATAGTGGCTTGTATCTCTTAATCCTATACCCCTATCTTGTCCCTCCCCCCTTTCCTCTCTTCACTGGTAACCATTAGTTTGTTTTCTATATCTGTGAGTCTGTTTCTGTTTTGCTGTACTCATTTTTTTGTTTTATATTTTAGATTCTACATATAAGTGATATCACACAGTATTTATCTTTCTCTACCTAATTTCACTAAGCATAATATTCTCTAGGTCCATCCATTGATGCTGCAAATGGCAGAATTTCATTCTTTTTTATGGTTGAGTACTATTTTATTGTGTGTATATATATATATATATATATATATATATATATATATATATATACACACACACACATATCATCTTTATTCATTCATCTGTTGATGGACACTTGGGTTGCTTCCATGTCTTGGCAATTGTAAATAGTGCTGCTATGAACAATCAGGTGCATGTATCTTTTCGAATTAGTGCTTTCATTTTTTCTGGATATATTATATACCCAGGAGTGGAATTGCTGGATCATTGGTAGTTCTATTTTTAGTTTTTTGAGGAACCTCCGTACTGTTTTCTATAGTGGCTGCACCAGTTTACATTTCCACCAACAGTGTATTAGGGTTCCCTTTTCTCCACATCCTCACCAACATTTAGTTTTTGTTGTCTTTTTGCTGAGAGCCATTCTGACAGGTGTGAGGTGATATTTCACCGTTGTTTTGATTTGCTTTTCTATAGTAACTAGTGATGTTGAGCATCTTTTCATGTGCCTGTTAGCCATCTGTATGCCTTCTTTGGAAAAATGTATTTTCAGGTTTTCTGCCCATTTTTTGATTGTATTGTTTGCTTTTTTGATAATGAGTTATATGAGCTGTTTTGGATATTAACTCCTTGTTGGTCTCATCATTTGCAAATATTTTCTCCGATTCCATAGGTTGTCTTTTTGATTTGTTGATGGCTTTTTTTGCTGTGCAAAAGCTTTTAAATTTAATTAGGTCCCATTTGTTAATTTTTGCTTTTATTTATTTTGCCTTAGGGGACAGATCCAAAAAATACGGCTATGATTTATGTCAGAATGTCCTGCCTATGTTCTCTTCTAGGAGTTTTATGGTTTCAGATCATCTATTTAGGTCTTTAATCCATTTTGAGTTTATTTTTGTGTATGGTGTGAGGGAATGTTCTAATCTCATTGTTTTACCTGTAGCTGTCCAGTTTTCCCAGCACCACTTATTGAAAAAACTGTCTTTTCCCCATTGTATATTCTTGCTTCCTTTGTCATACATTAATTGATTGTAGGTGCGTGGGTTTATTTCTGGGCTCTCTGTTTAGTTCAGTTGATCTATGTGTCTGTGTTTTGCCAGACACAAAACATGCTGTTGCTGTTTTGATTACTGTAACTTTGTAGTATAGTCTGAAGTCTGGGATGGTGATACCTCCAGCTTTGTTCTTTTTCCTCAGGATTGCTTTTGTAATTTGTGGTCTTTTGTGGTTCTTTATGAATTTTAGGATTATTTGTTCTATTTCTGTGAAAAATGTCATGAGTATTTTGATAGGGATTGCATGATTGCTTTGGGAGGTATTGGTCATTTTAACAATATTAATTCTTCCAATTCCAGAAGAGCAAGGGGTATCTTTGCATTTCTTTGTATCATCTTCACTTTCCTTCATCTGAGTTTTCGGAGTGTAGGTCTTTCACCTTCTTGGTTAAGCTTATTCCTGGGTATTTTATTCTTTTTGATACAATTTTAAATGGGATTTCTTTTTTTTTTACTTTCTCTTTCTGATAGTTCATTATTATTGTAGAGAAAAGCAACAGATTTCTGTATATTAATCTTATATCCTGCAACTTTGCTGAATTCGTTTATTAGTTCTAATAGTTTTTGTGTGGTGACTTTAGGGTTTTCTTCATTTTTTTAAAAAAATTGAAGTATAGTTGATTTACAGCTCTACAGCCAAGTGACTCAGTTTTACACATACAGACATGCTTTTTTGTGTGTTCTTTTCCACTGTTGCTTATCACAGGATGTTGAATATAGTTCCCTGTGCTATACAATAGGACCTGTTGTTTACCCATTCTAAATGTAATAGTTTGTGTCTGCCAACCCCAGACTCCCAGTCCTTCCTCTCCCTCCCCTCTTGGCAACCACAGATCTGTGCTCTGTGTCTAGGAGTCTGCTTCTGTTTTGTAGATAAGTTCATTTGTGTCATGTTTTAGATTCTAGGGTTTTCTATGTAAAGTATCATGTCATCTCTAAATAGTAACAGTTTGACTTCTTCCCTTCCAATTTGGATGCTTAATTTAATGGGAAGGCTTTCAGCTTTTCACCATTGAGTATGATGTTAGCTGTGCATTTGTCACATATGGTCTTTATTATGTTGAGATATGTTCTCTCTGTACCCACTTTGATGAGAATTTTTATGATGAATGGGTGTTGAATTTTGTCAATTGCTTTTTGAGTGTCTGTTGAGATGATCATGTGTTTTTTGTCTTTCCTTTTATTAATGTGGTGTATCACATTGATTTTACATATTTTGAACCATCCTTATGTCCCTGGAATAAGTCCAACTTGATCATGTGTATGATCCTTTTTATATATTGTTGGACTTGGTTTGCTAATATTTTGATGAGGATTTTTGCATCTATATTCATCAAAGATACTGGCCTGTAATTGTCTTTTTTTCTGGTGTCTTTGGTTTTAGTATCAGGGTAAAGGTGGCCTTGTAGAATGAAGTTGGGAGTGTTTCATCCTCTTTAATAATTTGGAATAGTTTTAGAAGGGTAGGTATTAGCTCTTCATTATATGTTTGGTAGAATTCCCCTGTGAAGCAGTCTGGTTCTGGACTTTGTTGGCTGGGAGTTTTTTTTAAATTACAAATTCAATTTTACTGCTAGTGATTGGTTTGTTCAACGTGTCTGTTTCTTCTGGATTCAGTCTTGGCAAGTTTTGTGTCTAGAAGTTTATCCATTTCTTCTAGGTTGCCCAATTTGTTGGCATATAAGTGTTCTTAGTATTCTTTTTTGTACTTCTGTGGTGTTGGTCGTTATTTTTCCTTTTTTCATTTCTTATTTTTTAAAATTTGGGTTGTCTTTTTTCCTTCTTGGTGAGCCTGACTAAAGGCTTATCAATTTTTTTTTCTTTTTTCAAAAAACCAGCTCTTGGTTTCATTGATCTTTTCTATTTTTTTAAATCTCTTTCTTATTTATTTTCTCCCTGAGCTTTATTTCCTTCCTTCTGCTGACTTTGGCCTTTGTTTGTTCTTCTTTTTCTAATTCTTTTAGGTGGTAGGTTATGTTGTTTGTTTGAGATTTTTCTTGTTTATTGGGGAAGGTCTGTATTGCTATAAACTTCCCTCTTAGAAGTGCTTTTTCTGCATCCCATAGATTTTGGAGTGTAGTGTTTTCATTTGTCTTGAGGTATTTTCTGATTTCCTCTTTGATTTCTTTATTGACCTGTTGGTTTTTTTAGTAGCATGTTTTTAGTCTCTGCACGTTTGTTCTTTTCTTGTTTTCTTTCTGTAGTTAATTTCTAGTTTCATACCATTGTGGTTGGAAAAAATACTCGATAAAATAATTTCTATCCTCTTAAATTTGTTAAGACTTGTTTTGTGGCCTAGCATGTGCTCTATCCTGCAGCACATTCCATGTGCACTTGAAAAGAATGTTAATGATGCTGGTTTTGAATGTAAATGTCCTGTAGATATCTATTAAGTCCAGCTGGTCTGTTGTGTCATTTTAGACTGCTCTTGCATTATTGACTGTCCATTGATGTAAGTGGAGTTTTAAAGTACCCTACTATTACTGTATTAGTGTCAATTTCTACCTTTGTGTCTGTTAGTATTTGCTTTATATGTTTAGGTGCTCCTGGGTGCACGTATGTTGAGTGTAATATCA